TCGAGTACATCCACTTCTTCCACAAGTACAACGAGCAGCTCCAGCAGCACCACCTCTACAAGTTCAACTTCTACATCCACCTCATCCACCAGCACCACATCTACAAGCACGTCTTCCAGCAGCACAACAGCGACATCCACATCTTCCACGAGCACGAGCAGTAGCTCAACCAGCACATCTTCAACTAGCGCCACTTCCACATCAACTTCATCCAGCAGCACCACATCCAGCAGTACAACGAGTACATCCAGTTCTTCCACAAGTACAACGAGCAGCTCCAGCAGCACCACCTCTTCGAGCACAACTTCTACATCCACCTCATCCACCAGCACATCGAGCACATCTACTTCTTCCACGAGTACAACGAGCAGCTCCACCACATCATCATCCAGCAGCTCGTCATCAAGTTCATTTACAAGTACAAGCTCTACAGCCTCCAGCACAACTAGCACATCCACCTCCTCATCAACTACGACTACCACTTCCACCTCATCGTCGTCCAGCAGCTCCACGTCCACTTCATCCACGACTACATCCACCAGCTCCAGCAGCACCTCCTCCACAAGCACAACTTCTACGTCGACATCATCCACGAGCACCACCTCTCGAAGCTCGACTTCTTCAAGCACGACCCTCACGACCTTGACCTTCACTGCAGGCAAGAGCCGTGCAATTCAACTTTGGGGACATTGAGTGTTGCAAATTCGGAGAGACACCGCATTTTGTCATCGAGTGAGTTTTCTGCCTAGGACAGTTGAGGACAGTTTACAAGCCTGGGTTGCAAATCTGCTCACGGGCCGGTGTGCCACGGATGTAGGGAGGCCAGCACATGTCCCCCCCGAAGGTTCCTGGTTCACGCACGGAAAAACACTGAGAATCTTAAGAGCTTGCACATGTTGCCAATAGAGATCCCGTGCAACTGGCATTCGCTGAAAAGCAAGACTTGAGTTTGGCATAATTAGGGGGGGTTCCGAAAATAGGGGACCCGAATATAGTACCCTAAATAGTAGGATCCTTATTATAAGGACCCCCAAAATAAGGTACCCTAATTTTGGGAAACTCCCATAGAGCAGATTCTAAGTCCCTGTGAGCTCCTTCGGGAGAGGAAGCGTCGACATGTTGGCTGCTGAAGCCACACAGGAGGTGCAAGCAGTGCTGATGCGAAAGGCCCCTTCGCTTGTTTAGGAAGACGATCAAAGATTCTCATTCCGATTCTCTTTGGTTTGCTTATAAATCAGTCGGAGAAATGCATCCCGCACTCGTCCGTATTCATTGAAAGGATGCACGATTGGAGCACGCCCTTTTCAAGCGCTTCATGGGTGCTTCAGGGGTTCGCTGAGTGATCTCAAGTTGGTGTGAACCTCGCAGATGTACAGCTGGGTGGACAAGAACAAGCTAGATGCAGATTATATGGCGCTATTTCCTGTTACTTCACGAAAAGTTTCATTCTGTTTCAGCAAGAAGGCACTATTCGTACTGGTAGAAGCCAGGAAGTTTAGTAGGCAGAGTGTACGTGGGGCTCTGGCAAAGGATACGGATACAAACTCTCCGTATGTAGGGTGATTGCCGCATCCTGGAATCTAGGACATTTTCAAGTGGGGGTAGTTACCGTTATAGGTCTATATACCTTGTAGAAGCCTTATAGTATTATAGAAGCCCTATATACCCTAAACTCCCGAATTCTCCGAAAGACCACCAGACAAGACTCCCCTGGGTCGGCGCGACACTTCGGCTCCTAGGCGCGTGCTGCGAACCAAATCCTCAAGATGCTGGAGGAGATTCATCGAGAGAGCTCCAGAGGTTCTCTGAATCTGTGAGATGTAATGATCCCTCGAACTCCTTCCTGGTCTGCGAAGCATCATGTACAGCAAAAAGGCGGACCAGACTCCTTGTGATCCCGAGCATTTTCTGGTGAAAGGAGGCCGAGATGTCGCCCATGAACGCGACGGGGAACGAGGACGACGGCTTGCTTCTCAAGCTCATCACGAAGGCGTGCTAAGGAAGCTTTTTGACAGGGCACGTGGGATGCTGCCTCGAACCGGTGTTCTTGAAGTTGTGTTGTTGCCGGTGCTTCTAGACCTTAGGTTCATAACATGCTATCTAAGCACCTCAAACGATTGTCCCAGTTTGGCTATATCCTTGTGGCTTCCTACTGTGACGATGGCCTGTGTTTGTCTGTGTGTGTGTGTCTGTGCGTCTGTCTGTGTGTCTGTGTGTGCGTGTGTGCGTGTGTGCGTGTGTGCGGGTGTGCGGGTGTG